AAAAAATGAAAGCATTCCAGATGAAGCTAAAGTTTCCCCTGACTAATCAGCCAAAGAAATATGCATAATCCAGGGACACAGACAACAGTGTAGTGATGGCCGGAGGGAAAGGAGGGTGGGCTGGGCGGAGGGAGGCAAAGCAGGGAAAATGGAGACATCTGTAACAGTGTCAACAATAAAAATAAAGAAGACAAATAAAGTTTCCCTTGACCCTCTACCCCCACCCCATACCCACTATTCTCCCCAGAGGTAGCCATTATTTTCAGCTTAATGTGAATCCTTTTAACACTTTCTTATGCATTTACACACATATAGTGTAACTATAGAAAATATATATCTTTACCCTGTATGATAATCCACTTTACCAAGTGCAGCAGTCATTGTGCAATTTGTTTTTCATGTAACATGTTGTCTTGGAAATATTTCTATTTCAATACAAATAGAGCTTTGTCATTAAAAAAACTGCCTTGTATCCAGAGTATGGCTGTAACTGTTTGTTTCGCCATTTCCTTTGTGATAGACTTGTAGGTTGTTTCTGCTTTTCTGCATACTTCAGCAAACATTCATGAATATTTACTTAGTGCCATATGCCCAGCATCCTTCCTGGTGCTGTGGATTTAGCAGTAAACAAAACAAAGTTCTCCTTGTGGACATTCAGGAAAGCACAAACAGTAAAGACGTACGCATATAATAAAATGTCGTGTAGTGAGAGGTACTATGAAGAACTCCAACGAAGGTGAGAGATGAAGTAGGTGGTCAGGGAAGGCTTCTCGAAGGTGCTTTCATTTGAGTCAAGACCTAAGAGAAGTGAGGGAGGTTGCTCTGTAAATAACAAGGGCACCAGCTGAGAAATGGAAGCACTGGGTCCGGAGGTGTGTATATTGAAAGGGCCAAATCACTTTCTGAACTGTAACAATTCACACTCCCATTTGAAGCATGAAAGTACCAATTTCTCACACTTTTTCTAATAATAATTATTAACACGTGTCTTAATTTTTATCAATTAGATATGTGGAAAACTGCTCTCTTGCTGTAGTTTTAATTGGTATAAATTTCTTGTTTGTGATTCTGAATATTTTTTTAATCCTCGCCTGAGGATATTTTTTCCATTGCTTTTCAGAGAGAGTGTAAGGGAGGGAGAGAGAGAGACATGGATGTGAGAGAGACACACCAATTGGTTGCCTCCTGCAAGCACCCCAGCCAGGGGCAGGGATGGAGCCTGCAACCCAGGTACATGCCCTTGGTCGGAATCGAACCTGGGACCCTTCAGTCCATGGGCGGACGCTCTAACCACTGAGCCAAACCGGCCAGGACTGATTGTGCATATTTTAATATGTACTTTGGCCCTTTGAATTTACTCGTCTCCAACTTGGCAGTTCTAACTTTATAATATATCTTTATCATATTTTTCTAAAATGTGATTGCTATTGTGTAAAGAAGCTATGACGGCGTTTATTTAAGACTTTTTTTTAGNATTTATCATATTTTTCTAAAATGTGATAGCTATTGTGTAAAGAAGCTATGACGGCGTTTATTTAAGACTTTTTTTTAGAGCAGTTTTAGGTTTGCAGCAAGATTGAGAGGAAAGTTCAAAGCTATCCCATAGACCTCCTTCCCACGCATGCACAGCCGCTCGCAGTATCGGCTCCACACCGGAGCGATACATTTGTTATAACTGATGAACCTACATCAACGCGTTATAATCACCCACAGTCCATAGTTTACGTTGTGGCTCCCTCTTGGTGTTGTCCTCATTGTTGGTTTGGACAAGTGTATAGTGACATGTTTCTGTCATTACGGTCTTTCACTGCCCTGAAAATCCTCTGTGCCCCACTATTCAGCCCTTTCTCCCTTCCCGACCCTGGGCAGCCACTGATCTTTATACTGTCTCCATAGTTTTGCCTTTTCCAGAATGGAAACATTCAGCAAGGTTATTGTTAAGATTATGGGGCAGCCAGGTTGAACCCTACAATCCTGCTCTGGTCAATTATCACTGTGTGTGTGTGGCAGGGGTGGGGTTGGGGAGGGTACGTCAGGATCTAGGAAGGAACAGCAACCGTGTACCCAAATAGCTGGTACATCCCCGGGAAACTGGGGGTGCTTTTCAACTCACACAGTATTGGAAGCCAGGCTCATAGTTCTCAAGTAGAATACTGACTCTGACAGGCCAAAAGAAAGACCCGTAGATGATGGCATTTGGGAGTCACCCAAAAGAAAGCCACCTTACCACCTTCTCTTCAGCTGAGAGGAAAGTCGAGAAGTTGAGTTTCTGCAGAGAGCTTCCAGTTGCCAAACAAAAACAGATATCCAAGGTCAGAAGACACCAAAAGAGAGTCTCTAACATGAGAGTCAGAGTACAAAAACAAAGAACATAAGAATTTGGAAGAAAACAAGATTATTCAAGGGGCAGGAAAAAAACCCTTAAAAATTGATAATTAGTTTGTATGGAAATATGAATATTTATTGCATCCATCAACTATGAGTAGGATACTATAAAATGAAAAAGAAAATTTAGGTAATAAGAAAGAGCTGTTGGCAATTAAAAGATATAAAAACAGATGGATTCTGATAAAGAAAAGCTCCAGGAAAACAGCTACACAGCAGGCCTTGAAAGCCATCAGGCAGATCCCAGTGAGAGAAAAAAACAGTTTCTGAAAAGATGTCTCAACAATGACAAAACGTGCCCCTGACAGACTAACATGTTGGCAGTAATGGAGGAAGATTTGCAGCTCTAATGGATGTCTGGAAATGAATTTGTGACCGTTTCATGGAAAACCTTTATTTGCTCTGGGGAAAAATGAAAAGTTGAAGAGGATATTTAATAATTGTAATAGACTTTTGTTTCTGATGTGAACAGTACTTAGGCAGACAGGGAGGTAAGTACAGACTGTTGATTTCAATTGTGATATATCTGGATTGAAAGGTCAAAAAAGTCTAAGTGTGTATGGTGGGGGAATGCTGTGAGGAGCACTTTAAGAAAGATAAATCTTTATTTTTTCATAAGAAATGAGTAGGTAAGTGGAAGAGTTTTAAATTTCAATTTAGCATGGTGCTTTAAAATGTAACAAGGTAAAAAACAGCTAGAGAAGTCTTAGAACATTATTTGGGGGAATGTGAAAGGAGATTACTGCTTTCCATTTTAATACTATTTGATTTTTAAAACTATGTACATATATTATTTTGGTAAAAATGAAAATTTAATTTAAATCATTAAAAACATGAAGCAATTTAAATTGATCAAATGAACAGTACCATCAAAAATGTAATATTCAAGAAACTTTATGTACCTAACAAGATAGTTTTAAAATATATATAGCAAAAACTGATTCAATTCAAATATATATTCACAAATCCACAATCATAGCAAGAGTCTTCAATTTTAAAAGTCTATTATTTTTAAAATAAATAGAAATTTCCTTAAAATGACCATACATTATGTAACAAAGAAAATATATAAATATATTAAAACAGTTATCATCATACAGGCCATATCATCTAAACAGAAGTGTAATAGAAGTCAGCAACGTAAAAATACATACACTACATTAGAACAAATTTAAAAACATATTTCAAGTATGTTTAAAAAGGAAATCTGTCAATATTAGCAGGAGATATAATTACCTATCTAGAATTTACAAGAGAACCAGTTGAAAAATTATTTATTGGAACCAATAAAGACTATGTCAAGATCAAGCTTTAAAAAACCACAACTAAACCAGGAATAAAGGAGAACTTCCTCAACTTGATAAAGAATATCTACAAAAAGCCTTCACCTAACATACTTTATGGTGAGAATCTTAAACCTGTGGATTTGTGTATTCAGAATTTTGGTTTCACATATTTATGATGAGCCCTGCCAAGATGTCAGGTCAGGCTCCCTCTGCTAGTTGTGGCTCAGTTCCATTCTCAGATGCCGCTGCTCCTCCTGCACATAACCTGAGATGGGCAGCCCCCGTCCTGTGAAAGAAATCAAAAGTTGCAAGGGCTTAGTCTATTTTACAGTCTTCTCTTCATTTTCACTTAAGCTACATCAGCAACCTCTTACCTGGTCTTTAGGCCACCAGCCTCTTCCTTCCCCAGAACACCTACTGAACTGCCAGTTACATTTTTTGACATAGATTGACCACTAAACAAATGATGAAATATTTGTAATCCAAATAGCAAATGCTGTAAGTACTTAGTCCTTGAAGGTTCCCCATCACCACAGAGTGAAGTCCAAACAAATTAGAGACACAGGTTTTTTGCAACATGCCTCATCTTCAACCACTGCATTCATCATTCCCACCTTGCTCATTACAGGAACACTGAATCCTCATCATTGTTTTAGTACACTGTATACTCTTGTCAATGACCAAAGTGTCCCCAAAATTGGGTCATTAAGTTTTTAATTCTCCAATGCCTGACACCTAGCGTGTGTTCCTTTAATTTTAGGTGAATATAGTTGAACTTTCACTTCCTGTAATCCAAAGTGAAAGAACATAGGAAAGAAGTGTTCTTTGGCCCAAACAACACAGGCAACTCTTAGCATCATTTTATAACTAAGTTTTTCTATGTGACATTATAGTTACAATATAGCATTGATTAATCTGAATACTTGTAGAATCATAGAATTTCAATGCGAAGAAGTATTTTAGAAGAGATTCCTTTGACTTGCAGATGAGGAAATCAGTCCTGTGCTTATATCAGACCACACAAATAGCTTTTATCAAAATCCTGTTCAGTAACCAAATACTTTTTAATTCGTGAGATTAAACCATCCTTACATTCCAGGCAAATAAAATCTAGTAGAGAACAAAATGTACAATGTACTTTAGTTCAGAAGAAATCTCATTAAGGACTCTTAACCTGAGTTAGGATGTGGAGGTGGTGGAAAGTCATGCTCATGATGAGATAATTGGAAGTTCAAGGATGTATAGGCTAGCAAGGCCATCAGAACAACAGAGTAGGGTTGACGAATTTCTTTTCTCCAGGGTAATTGAGCCTCTTTTTCTCTTTACTAGGTTTCAGAACCTGCTGTGGTCCAGAAAGACATTTGTGGACAACATGAAAATTTATAACCACAGTTATATCTACATGCCTGCCTTTTCTATGAAGACAGGAACAGAGCCATCCCTGAGGGTTTATTATACACTGTCAGATGTCGGTGCCAATCAAACAGTGCTCTTTGCTAACCCCAACTTTCTGCGTAGCATTGGAAAGTTCTGGAAAAATAGGGGAATTCATGCCAAACGCCTGTCCACAGGCCTCTTCCTGGTGAGCGCAGCCCTAGGCCTCTGTGAGGAGGTGGCCATCTATGGCTTCTGGCCCTTCTCTGTGAATATGCATGAGCAGCCCATCAGCCATCACTACTATGATAATGTCTTGCCCTTTTCTGGCTTCCATGCCATGCCAGAGGAATTTCTCCAACTCTGGTATCTTCATAAAATCGGCGCACTGAGAATGCAGCTGGACCCATGTGAGGGTACCTCACTCCAGCCCACTTCCTAGGGTCAGTGGGAAAAGGAAGAACTAAGCCAGGGTATTTTGTTAAGTTTTCTACATGACTGCGGAAGGAAATGGTGAAGTTGTTTCATGGATTTGCATGGGCCACTTGCAAACAACAACTACCACCCAAAGGAAACTCAGCTTTTAATGTTGGCTTGCAGGACAAACAGGAAGTCAAATGTTCTATGAAATGTTTTATAGCACACTGTGGATTTGCAACTAGTGACATTCTGACGAAATGATGTTGGTCAAGCACATTTACCTGGTTTAAATCGAGAAGGTACAGTTCACAAATAAGACGGAACTCTAGTTGAAGTTGAAGAGTTAATCAAGGTTAATAAAGGAAATGCCAGGACAAATTGCTACTGATTATCAGTACAAACTGGCTTAATTTAAAGAAAAAACAAAACTACTTACGAAGACTGACAGAACTATAGGTTTTTAAAAAATTATTATTTATTTTTGTCCTATTTAGGGGCAGCGAGTGGGTGATGGGGTAGATTTAAAAAAATCCCTTACTGAGCATTAAGGACACAAAACACTGCAGCTGATTTGTGATTTGTTGAGCCAAGTCTATGTTAACTATAGTCCCCTCCATTTAACAAATGTTAAAGAAGAATTGTTTCCTCCCCTTTTTGTCAAGTCTGCTTAGACAATGTGAAGCATCGCTGGAATTAGATTGTGTTGATTCACAGTCTGGATAACATGAACAACTTTTCCTCCTCAGAATGTAGGGCATACATTCAATTTTAAGTCTGCATTTTGTAAGCCTGTTTGCATTATTGTTGTTTTAGTGCAAAAAGACTACAAATGTGAGTGCATTATTTATTTGCAAATTATTTGCATAGTTGTCTTTATAATTTAATGTTCAGAGATGAAGTAAAGCACAATGATGTAAACTTAGTCTCTGGAAGACAGACTGGAAGGCTCCTCCCTTTTCTATCTACCATGGTATATTCACTCTGAGATAAAGCATATGTGTGCGCGTACACACACACACACACACACACACACACACACACACACAGCTAAACAAAGCTCAGTGCTGTGCAGCTATGAAAGCTGAACCCACATGGCGTGATATTTCAAAAACCTATAACCAGTGTTGGAGAGCTCCAAATGTATTTTGAGTACCCACTACACCCTGATATAAGACAAACCAGCTTACTGGTTGCTGCTTATAATGCTATACCAGCATGAAATGCGAACCTTACCCCCCAATGCTTACCCCAAATGAACAGAATTGTTTTACTTATTCTGACTCTCCCCAACATCTCATGAGTGGATGCTGTGTAGCGTAGGACTGACTGTACGAGGCAGGTTCATACAAGTAAAGGGATGTGAATTAGTAGCTATCTATACTCTTAGCAGGTAGGACTACTTAGAAAGCCAAACTCTGATGGACCACAAGCAGCCAAATGTGTTTACATGTAAGAGAAAGGTAAAGGAAGCCTTTCATTGTCTTTGTTCTTTGGGATGCCTTAATCTAAAAGGAGACGCTAGAAATCACTATCTTTATTTTTTTTAAGTATCACCAAACTTTAGGTAAACTGTGCCAAAAAGTTGTTTCTTTTTTTTTTAATGGTAGAAACTTAGTAAACAATGTAGATTAAAACAGGTGGCATTTTGGGTAGCTTAATTTAAAAGCTATCAAGATGACAATGCCCTTGGAAAATATCTACATCATTGGAATAGGCAATTTCTAAGTAAGACTGAATATTGAGGTTATTATAGAAATCAGCAGTTGAAATATGACTGGTTGACATAACCTAGATTATACTGCTACTTAGAAAGTTAAGAATTTGAGAGTATTGATTCTGTGCATAACTCATTTGCTATTTTGATTCTATATGGCAGCAAAAATATAGTGAGAATGTACTATTGAGTGAGCTGCATTAAATATTCACTCTGTGCAATCCTGAATATATTTCCTCTTTTGAGCTATTGCTATTATTTAATAATTACCTTAAAAAGGAATACATTTTAAGCTACACACTTCCTCAGAAATATAAAAGGGCTAACGAAAAATACATAGAAATGTTAACAAAATGTGTTGGTCAAGTTAGTATTTGAATTGTTAAAATTGTTAAAACGTAAATAATGAGCTCCATAGAGCCAGTGAATCACAATTTTATTGAAAGTACTATCTGGAAATATTACAGCTTGTTATGATTCCTGGGATAGATTTGTGCAGAAAATTTGTACAATGTTTAGTCTATAAATTTATGGCTTCTGAAAGGCAAAACCGATCTGAAACTGATAATGTTTACTTAGACCATTGCTTCTCAATGGAGTGATTCTTCTCCTCCATCTGGTGACACTATAACATTTTTGAATGTTATAGTTTGGAGGGTGCTACTGGCATCTAGTTGTTAGGGGCCAGGGATCCTGCTAAACACTCACAATGCACCAGTAGGATTCCCCGCAAAAAAGAATCACACCACCTAAAATGTCAGTAGTGCCAAGGTTGAGAAACCCTGGATTAGGCCAAATATTTTGATTGTTCCATATGGTTTTCACTTAAGGATACATACACGTTCTCATGTCATTCAAAGTATGACTACAAGTTAATGAGAATATTTTCTTAGAGTAGATTAAAATGTGGCATTACTTGATAGGTATGCCATACATATTTGTGTGGTTAGATAGATGTATCTAACCTAAGCTTGTGAGGGTTTGTGCTTAGGTGTGCGTGTGTGCATGTGTGTGTAGAATAAACTTGTGCGTCTCCATCCTTATTAAAATACACGTGTTCGTAAGTGAGGATCTCTCTATAATTATCTTACAGCGTACTCTGGGATACCCTATTCCTATTAAGAAATTGAATTCTAAACTCTCATTATTTTATTTTGTTTTTCTGAAATTGAGGACTTCAAAACTTTGCCTCACTCATACTTGGCCAAATTTAGTCAGTTACATTTTCATATTACTGATCGTTAAGATTCAGTTCAGAAGATATTCTGGTTATGGAGGGAATTACTCTCGGACGTCCGTCTAATTTTTAAAGTTATTTAGTGACAAAAATGAGGTGGCTCCACGGGGGCCAAAGAGGGGGTGAAGGGACTGAAAATGAGTTCCTGATGAGACTTTTTATAAGAATTGCATTAATGCTAAGGACCATGAATGAGGAAGACCCCTGTTTAATTTTGATTACACTTCATAATATTAAGATAGATGAAGTCATTCCACAGAAAGAAAAATAATTTTTAATTTTTTAATTGAATTTATTGGGGTGACATTGGTTAATAAAATTATATAGGTTTCAGGTGTAGATTTCTATGCTACATCACCTGTAAGTTGTACTGTGTGCTCGCTACCCCAAGTCAAGTCTCCTGACATAACCATTTATCCCCCCCATACCCCCTTTTACCCCCCCTTTCCCCTCTGGTGAGCACCATGCAGTTGTCTGTGTCTATGAGATAGGATTAAGAAAAAAAAGAAAAATAATTTTTTATATGAAAGCTTTTTATATAGAAGAGGACATTGGACGTGTCAGCTTTATGTAGAGTATCTGACCAGCAGTTTGTAGGCCGTTGTGCATCTAAACCGCAATTAACACAGGAAGTTAAGGAGTGCTTCCTGGGCTTGCTTTCTGTTTAGTTCACTTTTAGGTGTTTTAACAGGCAAATGATCCACATGATCCAGATGAGCCCAAATGGCGGCTATTCAGACAGTGCTCTGTGTTTGGCCTTGTGATGTCTCATGCTCTTCTTTTGCCTAAAAATGTTTAGGTTTAGTATAAATTATACCTGAAGCAATGGACAGCATGGCTGAAAAACCTACTTGGAAAATAACTTAAGAAATCCTAGAATTCTAAATTTATAAAAAAGATTCTTAATTATTCAAAAGCTTTACAGCAGTATTATAGATGCTTCCAAATGGAAACAATATCAGTAGCAGTCCTCTTGTCGGCAATGACAGTGTTGGACACTTTGTTATGCACAACCTCTTACTTCTTTGTGTGGAAAGTCAGTTACCTATCATTTTAATTTGTATGTTTAAAAATAATTGGTTTTGTGAAATTTTTTAACTGGCAAATTTTGTTAAGAGGGACCTCAAATGAAGAAATGTCACAGCCTATTGAAAACTCTACAGAATTCTTATTCTGTTGAGTGAAAACTTTCTTACCAGAACCAGGGAGCATAGCGGTCCTACGCTTGCGGAGGTCCAGAGCTCAAGGCCATAAAGATCTTTGTGGGAACTCGAGGACAAGTATGTGGAGAAATAAGGAATGAGGGCAAAACTGTGCTTTGTGTTTCTTCATCTTCCCAGTGCAGATAGAGGTTGACCCTCCAATTATAAGACTGCTGGTGTGTACACATCAGGGCTGGAAGTGGGTAAATGACTCGAGGCACCTTCAACTTAGGTCAAGCTTCTAACACAGTCAACAGTAACTACANTCTATGCTACATCACCTGTAAGTTGTACTGTGTGCTCGCTACCCCAAGTCAAGTCTCCTGACATAACCATTTATCCCCCCCATACCCCCTTTTACCCCCCCTTTCCCCTCTGGTGAGCACCATGCAGTTGTCTGTGTCTATGAGATAGGATTAAGAAAAAAAAGAAAAATAATTTTTTATATGAAAGCTTTTTATATAGAAGAGGACATTGGACGTGTCAGCTTTATGTAGAGTATCTGACCAGCAGTTTGTAGGCCGTTGTGCATCTAAACCGCAATTAACACAGGAAGTTAAGGAGTGCTTCCTGGGCTTGCTTTCTGTTTAGTTCACTTTTAGGTGTTTTAACAGGCAAATGATCCACATGATCCAGATGAGCCCAAATGGCGGCTATTCAGACAGTGCTCTGTGTTTGGCCTTGTGATGTCTCATGCTCTTCTTTTGCCTAAAAATGTTTAGGTTTAGTATAAATTATACCTGAAGCAATGGACAGCATGGCTGAAAAACCTACTTGGAAAATAACTTAAGAAATCCTAGAATTCTAAATTTATAAAAAAGATTCTTAATTATTCAAAAGCTTTACAGCAGTATTATAGATGCTTCCAAATGGAAACAATATCAGTAGCAGTCCTCTTGTCGGCAATGACAGTGTTGGACACTTTGTTATGCACAACCTCTTACTTCTTTGTGTGGAAAGTCAGTTACCTATCATTTTAATTTGTATGTTTAAAAATAATTGGTTTTGTGAAATTTTTTAACTGGCAAATTTTGTTAAGAGGGACCTCAAATGAAGAAATGTCACAGCCTATTGAAAACTCTACAGAATTCTTATTCTGTTGAGTGAAAACTTTCTTACCAGAACCAGGGAGCATAGCGGTCCTACGCTTGCGGAGGTCCAGAGCTCAAGGCCATAAAGATCTTTGTGGGAACTCGAGGACAAGTATGTGGAGAAATAAGGAATGAGGGCAAAACTGTGCTTTGTGTTTCTTCATCTTCCCAGTGCAGATAGAGGTTGACCCTCCAATTATAAGACTGCTGGTGTGTACACATCAGGGCTGGAAGTGGGTAAATGACTCGAGGCACCTTCAACTTAGGTCAAGCTTCTAACACAGTCAACAGTAACTACAAATACGACCAGCAGTTTTGACAGCTTCAATCCACTGTGTGCTAGGGAGTGGATGAGGCAAGCGGAAAGGAGGAGACGGCCCTGCTCTCAAGCTCTCAGCACACAAAGGCTCAGAGAAGCCTCTGCTCTTGACCTTGGCTTGCACGCACTCTATCTCTGTCCAGTCCCATGGTCCCATGGCCTCACTGTGGAGCTGAGCTGATAGCCTTGTGACTAGAAAGGTGGTGTGGAAATTTGCTGAGAAGCTTAAAATTTTACACTGTCTTGAATAGGTGTGTGTTTTCAGTTGATTTTTTCCCCCTTAAACTCGTGCTCTCTAAATTTAGGTGTCTTGTGACAGCTCTGGTCACCCTGACCTAATTATGGCCCTGCCAGTGATTTTTCAAAGTGGAGCTTTTCCTCCCACTCAGATGGATTTTCTGAGTCCTTGAAGATAGGGGGATGGTGGTATTTCCTCACCAGTTCCTATAGCCTCTTTTAAAGCCCTGGAGATGAACCCAAAGGAATCCTGAAGCCTAGTGTGTCAGTTTATAAACTCCTAAATATGAGGGCATAATATTTAGGTTGAGTGAATGGAAGGAGGTATATATGAATCTACAGTTGCCATAACCTCTTTTCTTCCTATCTTGAGAAAATGGTTATTATCAGCATTACCCTCAGTCTAGTCTTGTTGTTTGAATTTTTTACATACATCTTAGAGGTGAAGGATTGAAGCAGGTGCATGAATGGAAGGCTCATGCAAACACAACACCTCTGCTTGCCGTTGCAGTAGGAAAATATGTGGTTATGTTTCCTTCTAAGTTTCTTCCTTCTGGTGCCAGCATTTCTGATTTATTCTCTAACAAATAAGGAATAAATAGCTTTTATAAATTGGCTTATAATACCTGTGAGCATTTGTGTGATAGCCAAAGCCTATAACTGTAACTTTTTTAAAGTACAAAAGACGAATTATATTTTGTTTATGGTCACTCACTTACCTACCTCCTCTGTGTTCTTATTGATCTG